GCTAGGGCCCTTTCTTCTGGCGCTCTTCTTGCTTCGCCGGCTCGTCTGTGTAAACCCCGGGGGTGGTGTCATGTTTATGTTATAGTTTATTTAAGTGTGGTCGATTCGTTTTTATTTATTCAGCATTTGCTGTCTTTTATTCAACTTTTTTATGTGTTATCAACAGATTGAAATACATCGGTGTGGATGTTTTTGTCGAGATTTTGGATGTTTTCTCATTTTGATGTTGAACTTCTGGTTCACGAAAATTGTGGCTGATTTTATGAACTATTTAATTTTGTTACAGGTTTTGTGCATCTACCCGAAATTGATCCACCCCTGGCCTGTAGCCGGCATAGCCCTCTGGCTGGGTCTGGTGCAGGATCTGCTCATTCCCATAGGGCTGGGCATAGTCGACTCTAGATTCTGCAAGTGGGTCACCAATGTGTACAAGTGCGCTGGAAAGAACGTAGAAGAAAAGCTGCCACAAGGTAAATATTTGGTTTAAATCTTCGACTTCAGTTCACATTTTGTTTCTTCGGTTCTACACACTATCTTTTGTTTCCTAGCAACTATTTTGCATTTTTTCTTGTTGTTATCATCATATTACCCTCAAAATCAAGTCGCCATTGAAATGTTGGACGTAAATCCGCTCTCTAGATCCACTATCAAAATATTTCGTAATTTCGTTTCTAGTCGGCCTTGACGGGAAATTTCGACCCTTCGGATCCACCAGCCAACCTCAGAGTCTAGAGATCTGCGGACCCGATCGCAATGTCAGGTCTTTTCAAGCCGTAGAACACCGCTTTCCCATCACGAACGGTTCCCTGTACACCAGCATAGATGGCAGACTGCCCGTGATTCACAACTACAGGAGAAACAAAGACCAAAGAGGAGGTAAACTATAGATTCTGAAATTATTGGGCTCTCCTAGTTATAATTCCAAAGTTTTACTGAATATCTTGTACTGATTTTGACTGAGAAGGCTACATCTAAGTGAGCCCTGGAAAATTGTTTTGTTCAGATATGCCCAAAACTGTTTAAGATAAAATAATTATATCCTGAACTAGATATTACTGTTAGGTTTTGAATAAAATGGTACAAAATTGTGTTGTTGAACCATTAGGATGGGTTATAATCATTTGGGAGTAACATCTCTTAAAAATAATTTTATATGCTACAAAAATATCTGCTTTAAATTATAAATCATTCGAATTGATGGTGAAGTAGTGAAGCTGTATATGAAAATTTATTGACGGTAACCGTAACATTGTTGACTGAAATTTAGAAATTATTCTGTAACCTTTAGGTTACAAACATAACAGTAATACTCGGTTCCAAATTTCGTTGTGTTATCTCAAGCGGTTTTGCAGGCTTCTAGAAGGAACAATTTCAAAAGGCTCCCTTTTAATGAGCCCTCTTAGGAAGCATGTCTTCCAAATTTCCTTGTGTTATCGCAAGCAGTTTTGCAGATATCTAGAAAGATCAACTACATAGGGCTCACTTTTAACGAGCCCCCTTAGGAAGCATCTCTTTACTCACATATACACTTTTTCTCCTATTTTTAGTCATGATTAAATACATTAATTTTGACACCATGTAAAAAATAATGTGATATTTGTGTTAAGTATAACAAAATTTTCTCTCAGGTGTGAAACAGCAAGAAAAACAGTCCTCTAACGTAGCCCTGCACTCGTCACACATCAACCGTCAGGACAACCCTCCGAAATACCCCTCCTGCAGCAACTGCGAGGCCGACCTCTGTCCCAGTCACTCCAACCTGCACCACCTGAGCCCCCAGTACATCAACAAGCAGCTGAATTTGCTCCAGCACAACAAGAACCTCATAATCACCAAGAACGTGCTGCCGGTGAGGGTCAGTCAGAGCCAGGAGTCCCTCACTTANTAAAATTAATACCCAAAAAAGAAAAACCATCTTTCTTTATACCCGGATATGTACAATATTACATAGCCTTATTTGGAATTCTAAGAATTTTGTATCATAAATTAAACTAATAGTTTTTCTCATTTCCACAAATACATTTCCAATTTTCCTTTAAAACGACTAAATTTTCTTATAAAATACATAAATCCAATCAAATTACTCGAATATACTTAAAAAGTGTGTACAGTTTTCATTGAACTACTTTCCAAGAAGCAGTAGTTCAAATGTCCCGTAGGTCGTCGATTTTTACACTTAACTTAGTAGTTTAAATGTACCAATCCTAGTTCTGTAAAGATTCTACTTTCTAATTCTGAATATTCTGGGGCTTGGTTTGTTACCTTTCTTATCATATACAAGTTCTTAATTTTTAGTGTTTATAAAAAACATATATATAAAGTTATTTTCTTACGTACACTGAAAAATATAAAAAACAAATAATGAACGCAAAACATAAGTTCATACATTTAGTTTGAACAGTTCACTATAATGACCAGATTGAAGCTATTTCATTTAGATCAATACATATTGCGAATTTATTTTTAAAACCACTAAATTACCTTATAAAATACATAAAACCTCAACAGATTACATCAATAAGTTCAAAAAGCGTCCAGTTTATGATATTTTTCCATAGATCTACTTTTCAAGTAGTTCAAATGCCCCGTAGGTCGTCGATTGTAAGATTTCGGTAGTTTAAATGTACCAATCCTAGTGCTGTGAAGATTTGGCATTCTAATTCTGAATATTCCTCCTTTGACATGGCATGGTTCTAACTTTGAAGTCGGGTTTGTTACCTTTCTTGTTACATAAACATAAAGTCTAATTCTTGGTGTTTTGTATCATAAAATAAAACTTTTTACGTTTAGTAGAAATATTTATTTAAAATTACTTTGCTACATACACTGACATACATAAAATAATGAATATAAGGAGTATGATATATTAAAATACTTTGTACAGTTGGCTAGACTAAAGTTTTTCTTTTAGATGAATATACATTTCGAATAAATTTTTTTTAAACAACTAAATTTACCATAAAATACATAAAACCTCAGTCAGGTTAGATCAATATACTCAAAAAGTGTCCACTCTTATCGATATCAGTTCTTAGACCTACTAGTATGTAGCAGTAGTTTGTACATTTCAGTAGTTGGTGTGTATCAATTGGGAAAATGAGCTTTTCTTTCTAATTCTGAACATTTCTCTGCAAAGGAATAATACCGACGTTGGATTTGTATCATTTTTAGACCTACTATGAAGCAGTAGTTCAAATATCCTGTAGGTCCTCAATTTGATTTTCTTTCTACTTCTGAATGCCCTTCTGTGAAGACAATAAATTTAATTTAAACAATTCGTTATTATGGTCAGTTTAATTTTTTTTCATTTAGACAAATATACATTTTGAATTTCTTTAAAAAAAATAATAAATTACCTTATAAAATACATAAATCCAATCAAATTACTCGAATATACTTAAAAAGTGTGTACAGTTTTCATTGAACTACTTTCCAAGAAGCAGTAGTTCAAATGTCCCGTAGGTCGTCGATTTTTACACTTAACTTAGTAGTTTAAATGTACCAATCCTAGTTCTGTAAAGATTCTACTTTCTAATTCTGAATATTCTGGGGCTTGGTTTGTTACCTTTCTTATCATATACAAGTTCTTAATTTTTAGTGTTTATAAAAAACATATATATATGAAGTTATTTTCTTACATACACTGAAAAATATAAAAAACAAATAATGAACGCAAAACATAAGTTCATACATTTAGTTTGAACAGTTCATTATAATGGCCAGATTGAAGCTATTTCATTTAGATCAATACATATTGCGAATTTATTTTTAAAACCACTAAATTACCTTATAAAATACATAAAACCTCAACAGATTACATCAATAAGTTCAAAAAGCGTCCAGTTTATGATATTTTTCCATAGATCTACTTTTCAAGTAGTTCAAATGCCCCGTAGGTCGTCGATTGTAAGATTTCGGTAGTTTAAATGTACCAATCCTAGTGCTGTGAAGATTTGGCATTCTAATTCTGAATATTCCTCCTTTGACATGGCATGGTTCTAACTTTGAAGTCGGGTTTGTTACCTTTCTTGTTACATAAACATAAAGTCTAATTCTTGGTGTTTTGTATCATAAAATAAAACTTTTTACGTTTAGTAGAAATATTTATTTAAAATTACTTTGCTACATACACTGACATACATAAAATAATGAATATAAGGAGTATGATATATTAAAATACTTTGTACAGTTGGCTAGACTAAAGTTTTTCTTTTAGATGAATATACATTTCGAATAAATTTTTTTTAAACAACTAAATTTACCATAAAATACATAAAACCTCAGTCAGGTTAGATCAATATACTCAAAAAGTGTCCACTCTTATCGATATCAGTTCTTAGACCTACTAGTATGTAGCAGTAGTTTGTACATTTCAGTAGTTGGTGTGTATCAATTGGGAAAATGAGCTTTTCTTTCTAATTCTGAACATTTCTCTGCAAAGGAATAATACCGACGTTGGATTTGTATCATTTTTAGACCTACTATGAAGCAGTAGTTCAAATATCCTGTAGGTCCTCAATTTGATTTTCTTTCTACTTCTGAATGCCCTTCTGTGAAGACAATAAATTTAATTTAAACAATTCGTTATTATGGTCAGTTTAATTTTTTTTCATTTAGACAAATATACATTTTGAATTTCTTTAAAAAAAATAATAAATTACCTTATAAAATACATAAAACCTCAACAGATTACATCAATAAGTTCAAAAAGTGTCCAGTTTTTGATATTTTTCCATAGATCTATTTTCCAAGCAGTAGTTCAAATGCCCCGTAGGTCGTCGATTTTAACATTTCGGTAGTTTAAATGTACCAATCCTAGCGCTGTGAAGATTTGGCATTCTAATTCTGAATATTCCTCCTTTGACATCATATGGTTCTAATTTTGAAGTTGGGTTTGTTACCTTTCTTGTTACGTAATCATAAAGTCTAATTCTTGATGTTTTGTATCATAAAAAAAAACTTTTTACGTTTAGTAGAAATATTTATTTAAAATTACTTTCCTACATACACTGACATACAAAAAATAATGAATATAAGGAGTTTGATATATTAAAATACTTTGTACAGTGGGCTAGACTAAAGTTTTTCTTTTAGATGAATATACATTTCGAATAAATTTTTTTTAAACAACTAAATTTACCATAAATTACATAAAACCTCAGTCAGGTTAGATCAATATATTCAAAAAGTGTCCACTGTTATCGATATCAGTTCTTAGACCTACTAGTATGTAGCAGTAGTTTGTACATTTCAGTAGTTGGTGTGTATCAATTGGGAAAATGAGCTTTTCTTTCTAATTCTGAACATTTCTCTGCAAAGGAATAATACCGACGTT